AAATTCTGAAACAGAAAGCATGACCATTACAAGTCTTCTGATATATGTGGATTTGGAAGACCTAATACCTTACCAAATCCAGGAAGGCTATCTAACACCATTCTACCCCATCACAACCAGCTCACCTCCCGGTTAGTACTCAACCCATCCCTGCCATCCCACAGGAACCACTCTGGCACGGATCACCAGTGACCTCATGGTCAAATTCTATCTTCTATTTTCAGTCTTCATCTTATTTGTATTTTGTTGGGCAACTGACACATAACCACCCCTTTCCTCTTCAAAGGCTTATCTCCCTTTCTTCACAACTCCACACTGTCACATTTCTCCTAGATTAGCCATTGCTCATGTGTCCCCTTTGTCGATTCCTCAATTTCTGCCCCCTTTCAGGCTGGTAAAACTCCAGTCCTATCTTTGGCCCTCTTTGTTCTCACTCCCTGGATGATCTCATCCAATCCAGTACTTTCAACCATCCCTTTCCTTCAAGTGATCCCGCAATCTCCACACCAGCCCAGACCATGCCCCTGAGGATCAGGGCCTGATACCTGTGCACTGAACAACTCTACTCAAATTCAACCTCTCTAGAAAGAACCAAGCTCCTTATCCCATCTTCCTCACATTCCTTCTCACAGAGGTTGGAGGCACCATCCTCTAATCAAGCCAGAACCTTTCATTCCCTCACCCTCCACATCCACTTACTATCAATTCTATCTTCTAAGAACATGCCCTCCTTTCCAACCGTATTGACACTCCTTCCTTTGCTGAGGTTCTGCCATCCTTTACCTGGACTTTTATAACTGCCTCCTGGCAGGTCTCACCTCTTTCTGTTTCCTGCCTCTCCAATGTGGCCTCCATCTTGTTGCCAGACTAAAGGATATTTTATGACTCCCTTTTTTCAAATCTTTCTATGCTCCCTACCTACCAAATGAAGACCAGCTTCTTAGCATGACATAAGGTCCCTTACCAGCAGGCTCCTTCCTCTCAGACTCAGCTCTCATTAGGCTTCTCATCATGCACTCTATCAGTGATACCCAATTATAACGCAAAGCTGTTTTGTGTTTGTCCTTTTCCAATCTGTGCTCTACACCTGAAACGTCTTTCCCCCAATCTAGCCCACACTCACATCTGACTTTTATCTATTTAGCAAATTCCTACTTTTCTTTCAAGTCTCATTCATTTCCCCTATAGTCATTTTCTGATCCTCCCCTGTAGATCTGAATGCCCCTTTGTTCTCTCCTGGCTCCAAGTTACTTCATTGCAGGGTATTTTTACATATCTGTCTCATCCTTACCCAATTAAATTATATTTTTTAAATTAGTAATTTCACATCCTCTGACATTTTGCCTGGCACAGTATAAACTGAATAAATGTCTGTGGAATAAAAACTGTTGGCAAAAGTCATCATTCAATAAAGATCCAGATAGAACAATAGAATCTCATTATGCAAGATTTTAGAGCAGTGGAGAATCAACTATTTTGTGATTTAATTTACCAAATTTAAATAATGCATACACAATCCACTTAGTTCTTTTTCTTTGAATCTCATGCACTCTATCTTCTAACACCTTACTCCAGCTCTGAATCATCTGTTGGCCTTTATATTTTTTCCTCTGGCAGCCCGATTAAGTCCTATTAATCACTGAGTCAAAAATTCCATTCCAATTCTTGGATAGGCCTATCCTGTGAACCTCTGAGGTTTCACTGTAGACTCTTCCTGAAATATCAGGATCTAGCTCTACTAATCTAGAAATAGACTGTTACTTATTGAGTCAAAAACTCCATTCCAATTCTTGGATAGGCCTATCCTATGAACCTCTGAGGTCTCACTGTAGACTCTTTCTGAAATATCAAGATCTAACTCTATTAATCTAGAAATAGACTCTCACATTTATGTCATTTTTTTCTTTTAACTTACATTTATCTCTTCTCATTTTCACAAAAACAGGTAGGTCAGTGTTTATTACCATCATTTTACAAGTTAAAACAGAGACCACGAAACCCAGAAAGTACTTATCCTTCATAAGTCCCCCTATACAAAAACCCAAGGAATTCTGTACTTTCTGATGTCCAGCCCTCATTTTGTTTTTCACTGAATATTATTCACCAAAGTCACATCCTATCCTTGTCCTTCATCTGCTGGCATGTTGACTTTACTTTTATTTCTGTCTCCCAAACCATCACTTCCTGTTTGTGCTTGTGTGTCCACTCTGCTGATTTGATCACCAGCTGAACATCCTAAAGCAATCATTTTTCTCCCCTTTTCGACTCCATGATCCAAGGACTTTGATGAAGGAAGCTGTATTTTAGGAACTTCACCCCGGAATCCAATCTTCTGCAAAAAATCAAAGTGAAACTTTCACCCATAACACAGTTGCCTGTGTGAAGGGCCTTTTTTCCTGAACTCAGTCAGTCGTGAGTAGATTACTCCCAGGTCAATTTGCTATGCTTCTCTTCCTTTAGTTCCTTTCCTCTAAAACCACACAACAAGGAAAATTACAGTCTACGTAACTGAGTTAAGCCTGTATTTATAAAAATATTGATGAATGAGGGTGAGAAAAACTACTGGAGTTCAGCATGACCGACATATTTTTCCATACTCTTCAACATGCTCTTATATTGAGAGTTGGCTTTAGGTTCCAGCCTCAAAACACCTCACTGTCATTGCTCTCATTCTATTCTCCGTCATATAGTGCTATCCTTTGTGATATTCACCTCCTTTAATGTTAATAAAGAGTGGAAAGGGATAAATGGGCAGGAATGGATACATAGTAACTGTGTCTTTGCCACAGGAGTTTACCCCTCATTCCCATAACTATATCTCAGAGGAAAGGGCTAAGCTCAAGAGAACACCCTTTGCCACCCCCAGTATAAGCTGATTCTTACCCTCAATGCCTGGCAATCACTTTTCCTTCCTGCTTTTCCGTTAAAAATGTCAGAGAGAAACAATTATCAATTCTATAAATTAGCCCCCCTGGTCAGACCAGATAGACACTAAGAAGCATATTTGGCCCTTGGGAGGCCAGTAGGCCTCTCCTAGTTCTAAGGAACCTCTAATTCCCAGTCTTCTTCCAGCTGTTTGTTAGTCATCAGGAAAAACATAAATGGTTCTGTGCATTAGCATTTCTAAAAGCACCCAGCCATAGGCAGACTCAGTAGCATCCTAGGTATTTTATTTATTCCCATTTTCAGAAGGAAAATTCAAACTTGAGACCTCAAAGGATGAGTCATATACAATTTTTATAAAGACAATGCAATAAGGAGCTGGGATTAATTGAATACAGCCTTCCTGAACGTTCTGTCATTTCCCTGCCTCTCTTTTCAATGTTTCTGTCTTAGGTTGCAGACTCTTACTCCGTTCTTTCTAGCTACATATGTGTAGAACGTGTGCTTTTCTAAAGGGTTAGTCTAGCTGTAGTGATCAAAAGCATCACCTCCACTGTTACTGACCTTCACCCATTTCAAGCAGATTCTTCATTACTAAGAATTAATGTTACAAGAAGTTTAAGACTTTTCAATTTAGAAAAGAAATGATATTCTGCATATTGGGAGTGGGGGTGGGGAGGCTGGAGGATAAAATTTATCCTGTCACCACTGTTCAATCTGAGGATGTTCAAGAAGCAGCTTTCTGTGGAAACCTGAAAGAATTATTGAATTATTTGAATTACTGAATTCTTATGAATTATTCCCAGGTGATAGGTAAAGTTGTAGATACAGCTTAGGCTAATTAGACTAAAAAACTCTGAAATTAAACATAGCTGTTTGTTGAGAGCTTGCCCCGAGTTCCCCAATTACAACACTGCTGGGTGTTTGCACACAAGCCTTTGATCTGATTCTCTTTCATTTCAGTCTGTCTTGGGACTTGTACCCAAGGAGAGAAAGATGAAAATCCACGGATGAGGGATGATGTCTAGAACACAGATTCTCTATAGTTGAAGCCTGAGTAAAAGTCAGAAGTTATAGCAACATACACAAAGAAACAGAGCCTGGCCTTTCTTCCCAGAGGGGCTATTGGCTAACCTATTTTTGCTACATAAATTAAAATGACCCATCACCCCAATTCCTAGCAATCTCCTAAAAACAGTATCCACTCCTCATATCCTCCCCAACATAATCACTCAAAGTAGGTCAGAAATGTTGCTTTCTTCCCCTCATTGATTTTCATTAAGAGAATTCACTTTCTGGAACACTAAAGGGAGAGATAAACACCCAATACAAGTACCAATGACACCCCTTGTAAATTTTTGGCACACTAAGTCTCATCACCCACTGTTTATCCTTTTTGGCTGTAAATCAACAATAATCTCAAGTTATAAAATACACAGAGGCAATCTTCGGCCAGGGGTTAAAGTACCTCCCACAAGAAAGATAATTCACTCTGTCTTCTAATTTTCTACATCATCAACCTGCCTCTTCTCTATATACAAACTCTTTTTTTTCCTAATTCAAATCCACATTTTGCCAGAAGGATGCCAAGTGACAGGGCACACTGGCTTAGCAAACCCCCAGGGCCTTATCAGGAGGCTGAGGGCAGGGGAGTAGGACGAGGCGTTTGTAGAGACTGGGTAGTGGAGAAAAGGGGAGGAGGAGCGGGAAATCCTCCGGTGCCAGTGTCTGGCTCTCTGGAAAAGCTGTGATGAGATGGTTCTCCAAATCCCACTGGCGGGGCTTCCCCAGTCTCCTCCCCTTCCTGAAATCTGTCCCTGGACCCCAGGTCTTCAAGCCAGGCTCTCCAAAGAGGGCGCCGCAAAGTCCTGCAGAGCCCCAAAACACACGAGCGCGGACAGAAAAGCATCACCCGAGAGACAGCAAAGCCACACACCCTCTCCCGGCCAGCTGCCCGGGGCGGGCAACTTCACCCATCGAAGCAGACGAAAGCTCCTGTCCTCCAAGCAAGGGAAAAGGTGACGGTAAACAGAGACACAAACAGGCACCGCTCTCGCCCCTCCTCTGCGGCCCCCTCCCCCCAGCAAACTCCAGGTGAAGGACCAGGTGCTGCTCACCTCCTGGCAAGGAGGAAGCGGGCGGCTGGAAACGGAGGGCAGGTCCCCAGCCCAGGCCGCCTGGTAGCCGGCGAGCGCCCAGCAGCAAATCCAGGCGGGGCTCCAGGGCGGCGAGCGCCCGCGGCGGGGAAGCCCCGCCGGCCGCCCCCGGCCCCCGCCCCGCGCCGGCCCCGGGGCGAGGAGCAGCATCTTCGTGCCCCCGCGGGCGGCGGGCGCGCAGGAAGGCGGCCTCCTCGCCGGTGGGCGGCGGCTCCGGCTCCCGGCCGCGAGGGCTGCGCGCTCGGCTCGCGGCTCCCTCGCCCCCTGCCCGTCCGCCCGCTGACAGCTCGGCTGCGCTCGCGGCCCGGGCAGCCGGCGCCGGTGCTCCCGTCACGCCGGAGGGAGGGACGGCGGGGCGCGGGCGCGGCGCGGGGGCGGGACGCGGGGCGGGGACGCGGGAGCGGGAGCAGGTGGCGCGGCGGGGGCTGCTGCCGCTCGTGAGGCGACGGCGGCGAGCGGGGCTGGGGTCCGCCGGTCGCGTCTCCTGTCTCCAGTGCTCGTGGCCCACCAGGAGGGGCGCTCCAGGGAGGAAGCCGGAGTAAACACTGGGCAGCTAGACCTTGTTTTGGGGGGCGGGCCTTTAAAATCTCCCTACTGCCCGCATCGCACACGAACACACACACGCGGGCGCCCAGGGAACGTCCCCGTGAGGATCTATGCTGGCTAGAGTCAGGCCGAATTTCTAGGTGGTCAGCGTTCGCGGGAAATGGCGCGGAAGAAGGAGGACTGAGGTGGGGATGGAGTGTGTGACTCAGTGTTCTCACCTATTTAATGAAAATAATAACACCTACCTCATAGAATTGTTATGAGGATCAAATAAGTTGACACAACTAAAGCACTTGGAAGAATGCCTGGCACACAGTAGGTGCCATATGTGTTGGTTGAAATCTACCTGGCAAGCTCAATATAAGTTGACCTGAATTTTTCTGTGACACTGTCTCTAATGTCCTTTTAATAAACATTTCCACATGAACGTCTCTCTCTCTTTTTCTATGTATATATATTATATATGTATACACATATATATGTGTATATCCTAAACACATATTCTGTATATACTCCTTCATATACACACACAAAGAGAATACACATAATCAGAATGTGTGTATATGTTTGTATCATACACAGATTTTGATTATAACAATGATGTATGTTTATAACAATGATGTATGTTAATTATAAACATTTTGGAAAATACTTAAGAGTATCAGGAAGAATATAAAAATCACAGAGATCCCACTACCCACAGATGACATCATTAATGATATTAACATTTTGAGGAACTTCCTTTCTGGTCTTTTAACTATGTGTCTACTGCAAAACTCGAATAATAGTTTGTAACCTTTTTTTTTTTTTCTTAACGTGAATATTTCCTCAAGTCATTAAAGTCCCCAACAACACAACTTTAATCCTTGTATAATATCTTCACTCTTTAGATACATGCAATTTGCTATTGGACATTAGGCATTGTTTCTCAAGTATTCAATGTTATAAATAATTCTAGAAGGCATACCCTTGGTACATAATCTGTGTGCATATCTTTTAATTGTCTATGAGACCTTTCTAAAATTGATATCATTGGATCACATAGTATGTGCACCTTTAAAGTTTTTGATGAATAGTGCACAAATTTCCTCCAAAAATTTTGTAGCAATTGTTACCAGCAGTTTATGAGTATTTATTTCACATCACCCCAGAATATAATACTTCAGATATTTGCTTTTTGGTAGAAGAGAAAAATGCTATATTATTATTGTTTTTAAAATGTATTTTTATTACTAGTTATATTGAATAATTTTTCATATATATATATACTGGCTACTTGTATATTTCCTTCTCTTGTCAGTATGTGAGAATTCTTCACTGGCACTCTTTCACTATTTTTCTATGGAAGTTCCATCATTTTTATTGACTTGTAAGCAATCTAAGTTTTGTATGTGTTTATCATATATGTCACAAATACTTTTCTCAGTTTGTAGCCTTTCTTTTAATTTTCTTTCTGGTAACCTTTCTTGCAGGTTAAAATGATTTTCATTTTTATGTACTCAAATATAGCAACATTTCCTTCTGTGATTTCTTGTTTTTATGTTTAGAAGTAACCATACCTCTGCAAAATCATACAGATGCCTATATTTTCTTATTTTGTTACATTTCTTTATTTGTTATTATTTCCTTTTTATTTATTTTTATTTAACTCATCTGGAATTTATATGAGTAAAATTATATTATTTTTGTCATCTGAGTGACAACTAAGAACATGGCTATTGAATTGAAAACAACTTCTTTACTTGTAAAAACAAAGGCTATCCCAGCCAACGCACCTATGTTAAATGAAAATTACAGATTTTACTAAGTGGGACAATTTGCCACTGTCAATACATAATTTTTTTATGGTAGGCTCATCTATAGAAAAGATCTTGACTTTGGGTAATTAAAACCACCCAAAATCACCAGACAGGCTGACAGAGAAAAGAAATTCCACAAAAACTCTAAGGTTCCCTTGTACCTGTTATTTTAGAATCTAATAGCAAATTATTCAAATAGTTTGTGATTATCTGATCAATAAATTTACTCTTGAAGTGTAGTTTTTTAAAAATATACTTTAATAGAAAACTTCTAATGAAAATTTTGGGGGCAAAGGTTTAATTATGAAGGTTTAAATAGCTTAAAGTCACTAGCTGATCATCAGTTTTCCACTTTATTTTTTTGCAGTGTATACCTGAAAATTGAACTGAACTTTGTTAGAAATCAACAAAAGCCTTAGCTATATCAAAAAAAGCCATAGCCAAAGTGATGCTATACACAGAGATTTGTGTTTTCTTTTTTAACTTAAAGCAGATTGTGATATAAACAACTCCAATTTTTAAAAGATTATCTAAACACAAAAATTTAGAAAAATAATCTGAATGAATTCAAGCAGCAAAATTTTAAAAAATTAATTTTAAACAATCAATGAAATATTAATGTAAAGTGTTTTTTCCATATCAAATTAGCAAAAGCACAATGATTCTGGCAAATTTATGCTGTGGATTATACATTCAGGAGAACATGTATTTCTGGAGAACAATTTGACAATATGTGTTCAATGTCATTAATATGTTTATGCCTTAACCCAGTAATTTTTACTTATAGGTCTCTAATTTAAGGAACTTTTTAGGTAAGGAGCACAGAGTTTCTGTACAAGAACACTCAGTATTGTTTACTAATGCAGTCCCCAAACCCCAGGCCACAGACTGGTACCGGTGGCCTGTTAGGAAGCAGGCTGCAGAGCAGGAGGTGAGCTGGTTGGCCAGAGTGAGAGAAGCTTCATCTGTATTTACAGCCACTCCCCATCGCTAGCCATCCACCACTGCAACCCCCATCCCCCATGGAAAAAGTGTCTTCCACGAAACCAGTCCCTGGTGCCAAAAAGGTTGGGGACCGCTAGTATGAGCAAACATGAAATAACCTAAAGTACTCCAAAATAAGGGAATGGTTAAATAACTTATATTAATACTATTTCATGTGGTAGGATTATGTAAATATTAAAAATTGTTTACTGGAGAATACTAAATGAATTGAGGAAGTGTGATGTTGCAATGTTAATGTAAAAAGTTGGAAACAAATCTGAATAAACAGTATATCCCCAAATATGATGTTAGTGGCAGGGTGTTTGGATGTGCCTCACGGAAGGGATGTGACTAGGAGGAAATAAACCAAACTATCGACAGTGATTATCTTCTAATGGTAGCATAACAGATGTTTTTACTTTCATTTTCACAGACTCTGTGTTTTCAATTTTTCCATAATCATCATATATTATTTTTGTAATTATTACAAATTACTTAAAGTATTTGTGTTCTTTGATGCCAATCAATCCTACCTGAAAAAAATCATCAAAGATGTATCTATACAAATACGCAAGGACAAAAATGTTCACCAGTGTTATTTGTAAAAGAAAATAAATGAAACCTAAGTATCTAATACCACAGAAACTAAATAATGTTATTCAGTGGTATATTATTCTGACACAAAGAATTATTTTATGAAAGGTACGTAACAGAAGGAAATGCTTATGAAAATGCTTCCAATTAAGTGGGAAAACATCACAATACAATATTTATACACAATTGATATATTCAACATAGTAAAATTATAAAAAACATGGAAAGAAGAATACAAACCAATTTCAGGATAGTAATTACCTAGAGAAGAAACAAGAATGAGATTGGGAAGGAGCACAAAAGGGGCTGCACTACATCTTTTATACTTTATTTCTGAAAGGAAAGAAGAATGAAAGGAGGGAGAAAAGAAGGAAGGAATATCTGAAGCCATATCTGAAGCATGTGAGAAAATGTGTTATTGCTTTGTTGCGCATTATGGATGGCAGTTATTATAATGGCTACACTTACTGAGCACTTAATAGATACCAACACTATTCTAAAAGCTTTACAACTACTACTTCATTTAACCCTCAAAACAACCACATGAGGTAGGTTTTCTTATCTCCATTTTACAAATGAGGAAATAAAGGCACAAGTTCCTCAGCAAGTGATAGTGTGAAGTTTCAAACACAGGTAGGTGGATTCTAAGGCTCATCACCTTAGGGAGTTAGTTTTATTACCCCCTGCACTTTTCTATATTTTAAAAATATTTAGTAATTTCAATTATTACATAGAATATGGTCTTGTTTATTGCAGCACAATTCATGATTGCAAAAATGTGGAAGTGCTCTTCAATTCATGAGTAGATGAAGAAAATGAAGAAAATGTGTGTGTGTGTGTGTATATATATATATATATACACACACACACACACACGGAGTACTGCTGAGCCATAAAACAGAATGAAATAATGTCATTTGCAGTAATATGGAGGGAACTGGAGACCATTATCCTAAGTGAAGTATCTGAGGAATGGAAAAACAAACACCATTATGTTCTCATTAATAAGTGAGAGCTCATAGATGGGTACACACAGGTACAAAGCTATATAAAGCACATGAAAAAACAAGAAGGGGGGAGGGTAGGAAGGCAAGTGTGGAATAAAACTTACCTATTGGATACAATGAACACTATTCTGGTGATGGACACACGAAAAGCCCTGACTTAAGCATTATACAAGACATCGTTGTAACAAAAACACTTTTACCCCCTTAATTAATATTTTGAAATTTAAAAAAGAATATAGTTAAAATTCCATATTTAAAAAACTAAGAGCATGGACCAAATAATTAATAGTGGAATTTTCTGAATAATATGTATGGGTAATTTTTTTTCTTTTTTTTATACTTTTCCACACTTAAATATTTTTTACAGAAAATATATGTTTAATTTCTAAAACAAGAAAG